GAGTAAGTAACGCAGTTGTTAGGAAACGGGTACTAGATAAGGATGGCGAATCAATTGAGGAAGTAGTGAAACCTCATCAGTTGAGATGGCTGGGATACGTGTTACGTATGCCCAACCACCGTCTGCCTCGACGTGCGATGTTCAGTGGTATAGGAGTAGATTGAAAGAAAGCTAGGGATGGCCAGACCAAAACATGGCACAAGTCCATGAAGTCACTGACAAGTGGTCTGAGTCATGTTGATAGGTATAGACTACCTGTTTGGGGACCGCGAGATGATAGCAACTGATGTTTAGAGACCCTGAATGATATGGCTCAAAATCGTTTGCAATGGCGCAAGTGCATCCACTCTTTGTGCTCACCCAAATTCTAATCTTCTGAATTCTTCATGTCCCTTTTTTCCTCTTTCCAAATTTATTTCACTGTATTATACTCCTTGACTAACATCTTCAAACCCTAGTTTTTCCGATTACTGCTTATACTCTTACTACCTCTACCACTACGGAATTTGAGTCGACAACTGCATCTCCGTGCTAATGTGGTGTGGCAACTCGAACTAATATGCGTATGTACGAAGTTCTACGTTGTTACTGACTGATTGATGACGTGTAAAATATCGGAAAAATGAAGAGAACAATCAAAATCCGAATAAAAACATTTACTTAAAAAAAGTAACAATATCTTTTGTGATATCCTATTAAGTAATAATTTGTATTTCTAATGTTTCGTGACTGTAATTTATTAGAGGAAGAAAATACCACACCAAAATACTTGTATATCATATTAGTTTTAATAAATTAAACGGAAAGTCATTCTATTGATTCCCAACATAAAAAAATGTATTAGGTTCATCACAAATGACTTGCTTGCAATGCCAAGACTGTCTTTTTAATTAAGTTTCATGAGTGTAGTGAAGTGTAAGCGGGAGGAGCATCCAAACAATTAAATGTTAGGGTAAAGTGACACAAATAATATCTGAAATATGTTCCTGAATCTTTAGAAGAACTCAAGATGCTTTAGAATACTTCAGTGATAACACTACACACACTAGAAACAAGACATGATATCAACTTTGAAGCAATAAAATCGCTTTAGAAGGGTTTTGAGGTTCATAAAAAGAAACTAAGCTTGGAATATATGAACGAACCACTAATGACACCACAGTCCTTCTTGCATATGAAACATGGTTCACAACGAAACTATTGGTAGTCATTTTCAACGAAATGGTAATATCTTCACCACTTTTGTCACTGTAAGCAACTCAAGTAGTGAATGTTCTATATGAATTAATCATAATCTTCCAAATGATTTTTCACAATTATAGATTTGAATTAAGAGCAAAACCGTAGGAAAACGTTATTCTGCTACGATTTTGCTCTTTATTCAGATTGATAATGGGCTGTTTATCTTGAGTGATAGACACTGAAGGACATTTCACAATTTTCATACATACATCCATTTGTCTACTTCATGCGACTTTTATAGTATTATTTACTGTCTGTCTACTTCTATTGAGTTCTTTTATTTATTTATCTGCCCACTATTTATAAATTTGTTGGTAATATTTTTAAACGTTTTCTAATCGTCCAAATACACCCTGACTATTTTATGGGACTCAGGACTTCGCTACCAGTAAGTACCAATCAGTGATTTATACATACTTCTCTGACAAGCACTTAGTTTTACTCTACTGTGTATGAGTTTTAACCAGTTAACTGAATTCGATCGATTACCAAGTTTTATTTTGAAGCTTAAAATAAATATTTCAAGTAGGGATTATCCAAAGTAAATATTCTATCAATAATTTAGGAGTATTTCTGTTTATTATTAGAATTTTTCTTTCCCTTTCTTTCGGGGTTAGTTCTTTTGTATCGATTTTTGATTAATGTCTCTATGCTTATATTGTCTTAAATGTGTCATTTAGGATGAAAAGATGGATAGTATTTCCTACTGTGCCTTTATTTAAAATATATTCAATCTGTCAGTCAGAATGCCACTTATTTTCTCGTTCATCCATTCATCCCTTTTTTCTATTTTATGCCTATTTGTAATCTTTCTGTTTTAATTTTCTCTCTTGCCAAAACATAAATAAATATTGGAGGAAAATTTTTACGTGACGACTTCGTTTGCAAACGAGCGATTTTTCAATTCAAATTTCTCATTGATCTAGGAGGAAATTAGGAAATTTCTCGAGCTTATGTGATTGGCCTGTTTTTTTTCTCTCTCGTTATACTAGGTCATTTTGTGATTTGCCAAGATAAATATAGTTTAGAGCATTTCTATTTGCCTACCTTCAGTAATGATTTATTTTCTGTAATGTGATAATATTATATTTAAAAATGTATTCCAATCTTGCTCAAGTTTGTGGCATGCAATTTGGTATTATCCCCTATGCATTTATATTCTAAGAAAATCAGAAAAAGTGTGAAGCACCAATTTTTCTCATAGGCTCGGGTTTATGGTGGAATTAAAGCTTAAAAAATCTCCGTAAATCTGTTAAAAATACCAGAAATAACTAGCTTGTTTTTAGCTTTTCCTTGTATTCGCTTGTCGATATACCCGTTAAGTATGATCGATATTTTTGGATGTATTGTTTTCCATATCTTTTTTACGTGAAAGTTTTTCTTCAGAAAGGTAAAAATACTGACAGAAGAACCTCAATCGATGACTTTGTTAATGCTGTGATGGCACTGTTAAATTATTTACTAACAAAAACCAACGTAGACTTTTAGATAATTGTGCGGTGTGTGCTACTGATGTCGACATATGCAAGTAGTATGTATCATCAATTGAAAGGGAAATGCCTGGCAGCAGAAGGTTAAGAAGATCTAAGAGAATGAGAACAAAAAATGATTGGTATGGAAATGAAGAAACAATAAAGTCTGAGACAATTGATGGACATTTCCCAAATGAAGTATTCACTGTATGGTTCTCAGATTTTAATAAGAGATTCTGTAATTTTCTATTCAAATATATTTATCTGTTCTCGTTCACTACAGTCGGGTTGGAGAAAAGATTAATGTAATCGTAAATTATCAGTATTGTCTATCAATTGCTTGATTGATAGTGACCAGTGGGTCTCAGCACCTTTCATACAGTAAGAAACATACCGAGTGAATGTTGATCGAACAAATAAATAACTCGTGATAAGGTAAATCAATAATCAAAGAACCAAAACAGTTGGTTTATCCCACTTAAGAGGCACAAAACTGTAACGTCCGAGAAGTGAATAATTACCAACGTAAACAAAATGATAATTGGACGGTTGCTTTCAATTGAATTAAACCTATTATTGTTTAATAGACATTATGCGAAATAAGATGACTTAATTACATGCTGTGTAAAAAAATTCTCAACAGCTAAAGGTACTGTTACTCAAGAAGCATCCAGTAAAGTATTTTTATCCGGTTTTTCAATCACGTTATTTCGAAATCAAAAATTAAAGTCTATATAACATCCACAACGAGGTGTTACGTCGTTTAATTTATTGGTATAATAATTCTAATCGACACAACAGAGCAACGATTGTTATCATTTCGTTAACAAAAGTGGATAAATCATAAAATGCTAACTTTGAAACTGAATGTGGTAAAATTGATACTGTACATGTCATTTAGTTTATATAAACAAGGAAATTGACTAACACATTAGCCTCCATGAAAGAAATAGTGGAAGGCATTCAAGTGCTTGTATGTTTTTAATAACCAAAATCAGTTTTAAGGAATACACCCATAAATTCCCTTAGAAAAAAGTTCGGGAATATTTCCAGTGTCACACGGTATAACACAAATCTACACTGTTTTAGGCCATAAAATACAGAGCTTGCTGCATAACTACTACAGTGTTATGCTGGTACCAGATTTTATAATTGTTAAGTATCAGTTTCTATCATCAAGACGATAACCTTACTAAAATAAATCAATCATACACGTCAAAAGATTGCGTACTACTTCTATATTGAGTAATTGAAAATTGTAAAATTGAATGTGTCGTTCATTCCAGATTGTTATTGGCGAATAAAGTGAATAATCGTTAATTGTTTTGTGACCCTTATTTTCATTTTTAATTAGTCTCATGGGTGAAATTAAAGTCAAAGTATAAGACCACTTATTTGTAAAGAATTTTGCTAACTGATTTTTCAGTTTTCTTAGGTCCTTAAATTTACTGAAGTTATTTATTATTCTAATATTGGATTAGGTGTAAATAAGTTAATTGCATCACAAGACCTTAATACCTTTTGTAGCGTTAATATATCGTGTCCCAGACAGATCTGTTACTGTTCATTGGCCTAGTGTATACAGCAATTAGTTCAAAGAATATATCTGAAGTAGTTTAGTTTGGGTTAGTATATCTGCTGTACCAAATAAATAGTCTTGTGATAAGATTACGAATATTTATCTAAAGAATGTTTATGATACTTTCTAATGGTTCCTACTTCGAATATCACAGTTTGCATAAAATTATTCACTTGAGCATTCTTGGTAGTAGATATTTTATTATAGTCTGTGGTAAATGCTGTTATGTACCAAGTACATAATAAAGAATAATTCTAAAATAAAATGTGTTTATTTGCTTTAAATTCTATGGTTTTGTTCCACAAAGTTGTACGTACTCTCTACTAGTCTCTGTTGTCAGCAATTCCTTTCCAAACTTGTAACTCGTGCTTTGTTAATACACCACACCTATTTGCGTAATGGGAGTCGTGTAATTTGAAAAATGAATCAGATGATAATTATTTCTAGTTTTATTTTACTTTTTTGACAATTACTTCAGTTTTAAGATCAGAATATTTACGTATGGAATATAAAATTCATCCGGTTTGAATAACTAAAGATTCCACTTTTAAGATCACAGTAATATTTTTTGCTAATCTATGCGATAAACTATGTTAACTATTTCATTTTAACATCTAATTAATATCTGCGTACATTGCTATAGTTTTTTTCTGATTGTTTGTTTCCTTCAAGTGCCTAATTATAAACATACTTTCTTCATTTTATAGGAAGCTTATAGAAGTTGGTTTTGTGCAACAGAATTCCCACTGTATTATCCACTTGATGACGCAGATTTAAGTATACCTTTACACTCGAAATCCTTGGATTCCGATATAACTGACGTTGAAGTTAATCGAATTCATGTTCCCGTCACAATTTCAAATTTATCGACCAGTTCCAAAATGCCTCGTCCTCGAAAGAGTAGTTACTTTTTAAATAGATCATCACCGACACAACCATTTGATTTATCTGTTGTAGAATCTATGTCAGAACCCAGGAATATATATCGAAAATCTAACCCCACAGAATTCCAGGTAGATTCTCATTTACTTTTTCGACTGGAAATTGTACAACCCTGCATTTCATGGTGTACTCAGGTTGAGACTGTTTGCCCATATTTAAATCCCGCTGATCCTACCTCAAACGGTGGTGAACCTGCATTTTTGTGCGATGGTAAGTACATATTTGTTTATAGTATTTATGCGTACTAATAATCATTCTTTTCACCTTCTATGTTAAAATATGTTGACTCTTTTTTATATCTGTTACTGGGTTTAAAAGCCTTCCTCATATCGCTATTTCATAACGTCTACCATGAAAGCATTTTCTATTGGTTCCACATAGTGGTGACTGTTTCCTGCAGAATTGAAGTGGTAAAATAGACGACCCAATACATAGGTATTGAGTGCCCATTTAATTAAGTTGGGAAACCCTAGTTTTAAACTAATTGTTCACCCAAAACCTTGGATATGGATAGTATTGATGACTAGTAAATCTATATTATTTGATACTATTAGGGTATAACTCCTAACATAGTCCGGTCATCTTTCAGACTGACAAAATTTGTAGGTGTTTTTGCCATTCATGTGGTCTGAAAGCCTGTGTATTATCAAAAGTCATTAAATATTACCTACGCAAATCCACTTACGGTACAATTTTTGCTTCTCTCTTCTTAGTTTTGGTCCGTATTTTCAACTAATTCTACATTATTAACAGTTTACTTATTACTTGTTATTTAAGAATTCACTTACATTTTGACTACTGAGTTCTTTGCGATTAGAAATGTGGTTCCTATTGGTCCATTTTTATTCACTCTGTATGATATGAAGATGTTATTGATTTCATATTGTTTCATCAACTATAAATGTTAATAACCCTAGTCAACTTTCCTATGCACACTCATATTTTTGTTAGATAGATCGATAAAATACATTATTGCATGTTATGTAAAAGTTTTAATTCAATAAAAGCAACTAGCTGAATAGTACAAAGGTTTAGTTACAGGGTAAGTAATAACTTTATTTTGCGAAATAAATTTTTGTATTAACTGACTATACCTGTTAGAAACAGTAAGATGTAGGTAAATTTCGTATTATAAAATTCAGAGCTTTTAAATACTTAATTTAGAAGGATTGTATTAATTCTAGATATAATGATACAATATTGTGATCAGTGGATAATAAAACATGTATATTCATTGTTTCCCTCTTTTCTAAACAGCTTACACGTTTATTTATCACTCTTAGTCTGTTTTCTTTATTTTCTGAGACCTAGAACCTCTTCCAGCATTCAGTCTTCTGTCTTTTTTGTTTCCATAAGGTTTCCATAATTGAGATGTCATTGTCTAATAATCTCCTTGTCCATATTAGATGTTTTTGCTCATTAGTAGTGATTTCTTAACATTATTAGTACCCGTAACCAAAAATCATTCTCAATACCTATTCAAATATTTTGATTAATTTGATAATTACCCGTTTAGTTATTTCGTTCTTCATATGGTAATGTATGTACAAGGTATGCACCATGAGTCAGTCACGAGGTATTTCTGAAATTTCATTATTCTTGTGTCCCACTTGATGATTCCGAGTTACAGTCATTTAACACAGCCTAACAGCCCTATGTTCAACTTTTGTGAACCTCTTTACATCGACAACAACTTTTTACAACTCAGTTTCTAATCAACTTCCTGTGTTAATATAAATGTTATGTTCTTGTTTGCGCTTATATTATATTCATTTTCGTATTCTTTCACCAATACAACAATACCCTATCTCTCGCTACAATGTTTAGGTTTCCTACGTGTTGTTCATAATCCCCTTAAATTATTTTAAACAATTCACTGAAAGTTCCTGTTTATTGAATGAAATTTTTAAATTAAAATCAGCTTATTTTTGTTTATCGGGAGTAATAGTTTAGACCAGCTCTTCATTATTTATTGATCAAGTGTATAGTTTCATCTTTAGCGATTCATCTGTGATCATCAATACTCTTTTCTTTTGTTGTACTCTGAAATACTCTTATATATATATCACTGCTTGTTTGTTGTTTGGGCCTTCCTCTTCTAATCCCTTTTGTCCTCCATAACTAAGTAAATAAAAGCTCATTGATTTTTTTTCGCTTTTCGTCCTCTTCATCCGTTTTCTATTTGTTATTTCGTTATCTGTTAATATATAGGCAAAAATTATTGTATATTTCATCAAACTAAATAAGATTAGTTTTTAATGATAGCTAATTATTGCTATTATATCTTCTTCACATCCATATATGTACATTATGCATTTGTTTTTCCATGACTACGAAATGAATGACTTTAATTTAGTCTCATTATACTCACTATTAGTTATTACTTATCACCATTATTATTATTATTATTATCTTATCTCTTAATGGGGAATATTGTTGTTGTCTTCAAGTCTTAGAATTATATCTGAGTAAATATTTCCAATTTCTTCTTATTTGTACTGGTGATGATAATAATAATAATAATAATAGTATAAATAATGTGTCTTTCTGTTTATGTAAAATATCATAGCAAAGAGGCTCATTCATTACTTGAAGCTTAAGCGATGAAATGAATATTTTTGAATAGTTTATCCAGCAACCTTATAGTTTTCTACTTTATTCGAATCGCACCTCATACTGAACATATATTCCCAATACACTGAACAGCGTATAAATTCAAATAATAATCTTTGGATTTTAATTGATACTTTTCTAGACATTTATAAATGGTGGAAGAGATAATCACTAAAATAAATAAAATCTTAAAGTAAACATATAATTATTAGCTTTAACCATATTATCTACTTGATTTCTAATATTTAAGCTCATTTGTAGTCTTTATTCGCGGATTTTTAACATTTCACCATGGCTATACACTAATAATAAATACATTTTTTAATACCCCAATGAGTAGAAAAATTGTGCTTCTGACGTTTCATAACTTGATGTAAGGCACTTCTCCAGAGTAAATAAACAACCGAATTCAATTAACACAAGTTTAAATGGTACAATTTTCCTACCCATCAGGATATAACAAAAACATATTTGAAACTATTAAGTTCAACCTTGGTATTGATACATATAGCTATCCACTATTAACGATCTCAATGCCATTGAAGGACATCCATAGATCCTGTGTATGGATCCGTGAACGGAAATTCTAGAATTTCGGTTAACTAGACCTGTTGCCCGATTAGATGTACGACTTAAATACGAAAGGATGCAAATAGTAGATAAATGCAGTCCTTATGAACTGCGTATAACATTTCATAAGCTCAATTTGTTTGCATATGTTCAAAAAATCAACACTAGTTTGGAGGGTCAATAACAAAAACTAATTATAAAAGTCACGCGAATAATCAACACTTCCCGGTGAGCATTATCGACTGAGCGCATAGGCACCCAAAACGTCAGCTTATGTTCCTAGTGTGGGAAAAGTCCGAGTAATGTGACTAGCTGATCTTCAACCAGTCGTTGGTGGCGGGCAAATTCAGAAGGTGCTAGAAGCTACACATTCAATTTACATAAGACATTTGTGTTTTTACCACTATACTTTTGTCCCGACTTTTCTTTGAAATATATTTTGTTTTTAATCTTGTCAGGTCGAGCAAAGTTCACTGTTCGGAAATTTGTAAATAGGGAAGTACATATAAGCGTCATAGAAGGATGAAAATTTCAAAAAGTAATATCATGATGCTGAATGCGAACATCTAAGTGACAGAGAAATAAACGGTATTAGAAAACTAGGAATTGTTTATCGACTAAACACTCAATTGATAATCATACAAAACTCGAATAATATCAATAAACCGAACTATTAGTCACTAGTTTGTTATTTTTGGTTTAATAAATACTTGTTTGTATATCACTTAGTTAACATAAATTATGCATTAATATGATTTTTTTATAGCCAATATTGAAATTAAAGTAACTATATTTCACAGTAGTTGAACAATCACTTGTGCACCAGTGTCTCTTTAAACTAAGATTTTCATAACTTTTTAAATCCTTGTTTTTATTACAAAATCCTATGATTGGTTTGTCAAAATGACATTAAATATAAATTTATAGTTGATTAACAAACAGATTTTGTATAGATTATTCTTATATCCCCTAAAATATATATTTGCAATGTTTAGAATTCTTTTCTATGACTTTGACGTGTAAACTCTCACACTATGGAATTAAGTAGGTATATAACTGTTTACGTAGTTATGTGCTAAAGTTATATTGTACTAATGATTCCGTTAGAATGGTCAAATCAACATGAGATAGTACTTTTTTTAATGCAACTATATAAACTTGAATTACCTATGATTGAGACTACTAAAGAAGAGAACAAAACAAAAACTACTTTATCTTTAGTTATCAATACACTTAAACAAAATAGATAGAGAGAATGGAAGAAAGAGCAGACGAATCAAAGTAATCAGAAAGATTGGAGTCTTAAAATAAGATTGGTTCAGCGAATAATTCCTGTTGTGGATGCAGAAGGATAGACCAATAATTATCATGTTAAGTCCAATGGTGTCCTTGGACTTTAAATGGACATTTCCTACTGGTCGATATCTGTCCACTTGTTGAATATGGTACAAAATGTTGTTTTCTATTTTTATGGTACGATGTGGTATGTTTGGTTAGTATATAAATAGAGTATGTCTGAAATACAATGATTCATAACTCAGAGGCTGAGATTTGTGTTCTGAACTCAACTGGTTGGGGTAGACAGGGAATCGGGGCCAATCGTAACTCTTGGTCGTCCATTACGTTCGTACGTGTTTACGTGTCATTGAATCGATCGATAAATACGCTGCTCTCTAGTTTTTTCAGTCAAGGACACAACAATTAGCACAGGGTAAAAATCGACCACAACTTAAAGTCACAACAATTCCTTTTTCGGCGAATTCATTTTCAAGGTTGTACAACCGCAAATATATACACTTATTTTATCAGGATGATAATAATTACAATAATAACAATAGTAGTGATAATAAAATTCTGTTAAACATAGTAACCGTGAAGTAGTATAAACAAAGGTATTAAAACATTATTTTTTATCAGGGAAACTAATAGTCTTATTGTTAAGGCCTTGAATATTCATCATGAAGATAAATGCGAAAATTATAACTGGGAATGGATGGCTCAGTATGATAAAATAAAATTTTGAAATGAAATGTAATCAGGAGGATCATGGATAAAAGTTTATATGCATAGAAAAAACAAATCGATTTTCGGTAATATATATGTATATCATCAATTGTATTTTCATTTGTTTATAATAATGAAATTCAATGTCTTATTTGACCATTTAATGAACTTGGCAAATCTTTTACGTTTAATATTTCATTCACTTGAATGTTATTAATTTTTTGTCATTAAACCTACTATTCTTTATCTAATTAAATAAGAACTAATAATGAAGACTGATTATGTATACTATTCATGTTTATTTGAAAATCGTTATAAAAAAAAATTAATGAACTCATTTTATCGGAGAGTAATCAGTAGTGATATGGCCAGATCTCGTTATATATATATAATTTTCTATTGACATAATTAATTAACTTTCTTATTTAGCTTTCTACCGATTGTTTTGACCTACTTATGAGAATTTATGTAGAAAATAAACACTGAGTTACAAGTATATATATATATATATATATATATATATATATATATATATATATAACGTTTTGTTAAATGGTTGTTAGATTTTACAAAATGGATTAATTTAATTCGATAATAAATAAATAAAAAATGTTGCATTCCACTTTTTGGTAACTTTAATAGAAAAAAAAGAAAAGAAAAGATTACTCAAATGTATTGGGTTTTTTTAAAAAGAATCTTTTAGCTAACTTTAGTATAGCAAATTATGAATTAGAATGAATAAAAATGGTTCTACTCTTAATGTTGTTTATCATTCTGTTACCTATTTGAATACGGGTATTTTGTCAAGTTTCTTATTACTCACAAAATTTAATTAGTACGCTTTTTAATAAATAGTTAACGGTTAATACAGCCTAAACAATTGATTTTACGTTATATTTAATTGTTTAATTAAATACTGTAAATTTACTATATATTCTTAAGTGCTTTCTAGACTTTGATGAATATTGCCTTTTCTTTTAACAGACGTATGAGCGAAAAAATTTTTATAAAAGCTGTTCCAGATCATGTTTTCATTCTTTAACTCCAAACCAATAAAATTCTTTCTACCCATGATACTAAATGATGAGAACAACATAGAAATAAGTATATGGTTGAATCGATTCAAATTACTCTACTTTGAATTAGTATAACATAAAAATCAAATAGGCAAATAGTATAATAAAGTAGTTCAAGAGGTTAATTTGGTAAAGAAAACTAGTTAGAGAGTATTAAGACACAAAATATGATAAATAATTAATCCCGCTTTTACAATGTAATTAATTATAAGTTATATCATTAATTGTCTAAACCACCAATATCTACTATAATTCAGGTAGTTTTCTTTATGACTACGACCATTATTTCCTGTTTTTATCAAGTATCTGTCTACCTTCATGCTGTCATCTTGTGGTTTCCTTTCATCATTAAAATTTTACACTCAACAATTCCATTTTACACAAAAATACATTAGTTAGGCACATAATTCTCCCACCACCACATACCTTTGATGTTGAATTGTCAAAGTTAGTGCCAAGAAATAAATTATTATTGTATTTATTCCGTTTTCGTGGGTTTACAAATACCTAACCATTAACATAGTTACGTTGGTTACAAATGATATCTCAGTCTTTTGTATCCGGGCTTAAATCCCATTATCTCCTCGTGCGTTAATACGACTCCGAACAGAAAAAAAGTGGTTTGATACTTGTGAACATATCGTTTTCCATAGTCCAATCAGTTTGAAGTCACACTTTTTGTTTATATTAGTTCCAAACGCCTCCCAGAACATATGCTTCTCTGTATATTCCTTTGTTAAACATGCTCAAGCCGCCATATTTCTGTCTTCTTTTAGTCATATATTGTACCGATTCTAGTAGTTTATGACTAATTAAACTCTGATAATAATCGTCTTTTTTCTATCTTTCGCTAAATGGTAATGAAGCGTAAGATGGTAGAAAAAATGTTCAAAGTTTGCATTTAAATATGTGTATGAAATATTATTCTAACTTACGTCTATTGATTTTTTTCTTGGATTCAATCTCTTTTTTGTTGTTGAAAAATTCACGTAAAAATGTTTAAAGAGTATTTCCAAATTCAATCACTACTATTCGGTACTTTCTTCGTTATTCTGATATGAAAAATAAAAGATTCATATTGATTACCCCTTAATATGAACTATTCACTCTTGTTTATCTCTTAATATAAAGTCAATTAATTTTCTTTTTATATATTTATTCTAAATTCATACTTTTGTTCAATCATTTTATATTGGCTAGCGTTTTAAATGTATCATTACCCTTTTATAATTATGATATACAGGCTTGTGTTGTGTTAATTACTACAATGAATATTATTCATTTTCCACTAAGTCGTACCATTATTGTAAATATTAGTGATTTTCTGCTAGGTCACATGTACTTCATTATGGCGAATATATATATATATATATATATATATATATATATATATATATATATATATATACTATTTTTCTGGTGAACTTTTTTTTCGATTACTTTCCTTCATACACTCGAAAATTTTAGTGATCGGTAAACCAGTTTGATAATCTCTCAGTTCGGTCAGTATAACTTTCAGTGAATTATATTCTTTATTTTAGCCATACATCGAAGATATCTAGTTTTTTAAACTTTGATATTTCTCTTATTAGTAATGAAACGCATATGCTATTTCATAAAAAAACCTAGAAACGATTTTAAAGCTTGAGGCTTCCTATTATACAGAAATAGAAGATTAGCTTGAAAAACAACATTTTCGACGTCATTATATTTGTATAGTTTTTGTTTAAAGGGAACATGGTTTGTTGTGAAGTAAAATTAGGAAGCGTGTATTAAGATAAATTCTCATGTACTTTTCAACCTCATAAGGTTTCAAATATATCTAGATTTTACACAATTACTTTTTAACATTTTCAGATATACTTATTAATATGTAAATCAATGAATTCAGATCTGTTTATAATACAAATGATAAATTTGAAAGTTGTTACTGCCTATATAATGAGGTTTTGTTTGCATGACTATGCGAGTTTCATGCATACAGTTTTTTTTGCTACTTCATCTGCTGTGTCAAAGATTCAATAAACTATTTTAACTTATTTGTAGTGCAATACCTTGGTTCTTTAGGATATTTATATAGGAAATGTATTAGTATATACACTATCTGCATCTTTAAAACCGTTTGAATAAATAATCTTCAATCGCTTATAACTAGTGTAACAATCCAATACCCACTGAACAATTCAGTGGAATTATATAAATGTAAATGTAGAATCACTCATTTAAACAAGTTCAGAATAACAATAGTTCCAGAATAAGACAGATTCATCGTATTTTGTTCCTTTGTCTTCAGTTACATGCAGGCTAATAGGTTTACTTTGTTTTATATATTAATATTTTTGTGAAATAAATCTTTGATTTGTTTATCAAAGAATAGGGGATTGTTTGAAAGATAAAATGAATTCGAAATTTGAGATTATTAATAGAGTATGTATGACTAAGTTAAATTATTCATAAATATTATGCTACATATAGTTAGTCATAGATAACATAGAACCTAGCAACATGTGCAAGAATCCAAATTGTTATACCACATTGTACAGCGAATTAACATTATCTTGATGAATTATCAAATTTATCTGTTTGCATACTTGTTCGTTAAATTTATTGTATCTGATATTACTGGATTGACCCTCTTTGTTAACCTATCCTTTCGTTTTCTTTTTCAATATTATGCCCAACTCACTTTTACTGAAACAGCTAGACGTAATATTCGATAATTGAAGTGAAGCCAAGACTTAATTAAATGAGTCGATTGATATATATCATCGGATCAGTAATGTGAAGTCTGTTAATTTAAATCCAGCCTTAACTTATATTTTCTTTCAACTTCTATCATCATTCCTGTCTACAAAAAGGTGTATTTTATGTCTTTATGTGGTATCCTAGCTCATGATGCAATTTTCCCATGAAATTATTATTATTTTCAAATATTTTTACTCACTTACTTTAAAAACGTTCTTTTTAACACTAACTTAATCATTATTTGTTCTTCATTCTGTTTTATTATAATATAGAAAGTCATTACCATCACAGTTCAAGATATCAAGCAGTTTACTGGGATGTGAATACTTGTGAGTCTGAGTGTTGTTTTGGTGTATCAGACTCAATTCTTCTTTCTGTATCCATTCCCGATAAGAAGCAGTATTCTACTCCAACTGATTTTCTTTTATCATATTCATCTGATGTTGAGCAATCTAACGATAATGACTCATGTAGTCATTTACGTGATCGCTGCCTTCATCGACTTTTATCAGTGCATCATTCATCATTGATATCAGAATTTTCATCTGTTGTTCCAGATCAAACATCATCAATATATTTCAATTATGATTTCAATCAATCTAATAGAATTAATTCCAAGAATTTCAGTAACTACCATTCATTATCTCCTGCTCTATATAAAATAGATAGCATTTCTTTTAAAATTATGCTTACGATATCGTTCACTTTTCATTTTTTCATTTGGTTACATAACATTCAAGTTTTATTATTTCAAAATTTCACTTCAATTTTAATTTTTTTGCGTTATCATCATGTGACGATGACGATTATGAATACTCCTCCAACAAACAGTATTGATGATAATAATACTACTGATGAAAATACACATTATGTATCGAGTTCTTTGAGTCATCCACCAGCTTCTTTAGTATCACACCCATCACTCTCTCCGTCTCATTTTACAAAACATTCAACTTCATGTCGACCATCGTAACAACAATTTCTGGATTTATCTTATAATGTGATAGATTATTATTATTATCACTATTACTATTAGGTAACCTTTTTATCTCTATATTTTATAATAAACAAAGTGAGTAATATGTTTAAATCTTTATTTATTCATTTATTTCTATACTTTCATTGCTGTTGACTTTAGTTTCTATTGTTTTGATGAGTGGTGTTAGTAAGAATACTTTTTACCAATAATAATATCATGCGAAATATATCGATTTAGTTAGGTTTTACTTCTAATCTCGACACTTGGTCAGAGAATGAAATTATTTACTGTGAGTATACTTCAGCACTTCTGTTAGTGAGTATATATATATATATATATTTCTTCTGTCCCTTTTTTCTGCACCTTTCTTCTTTGTTTTTTTTCGTTTCACATTCTTAAATTCGTATCAGTAAGTAAAGATATACTTAGAAGAGTGTCGTAGTTTACATCTTCAAGTCAGCGATAATGTATCTCCTTATAAATTGACATTTATTGATTTCCTTTGTTAGTTACTACTAGTTCTCAAGAGCATAATTTATTTATTTCTTCCAGGCTGTTTACTTCCTTTTTCTTACTTTTCACCAGTCACGAAATCATCTTGTTCTCTTGTCTTATTTTGTTTAGCCTTTTTCTGTATAAAATACAAATGAAAACGACAAGTAAAACTCATCGGAAATTAAGAAGAGATGTGTGGGAGGATGTTATGAGTTTGCTATTATTATTAGTAGTATTAGCAATGGTAGCAGTAGTAGTATTATCGTTAACTATTTTAATCCGCTATAAATAGATGGCATATAAACAATGTAGATTATTAGTCAGTTGTACAATTGAAACCATTTGATTTTTGTCTTTTTCTTTCAATCTTCCTAAATCAAATTATGTTTACTTATACACGTATGTACTGGGTATAATCATTATTTTGTTGTTCGTAGTGTTGTTTGGAGGTGGAGAATGAGTGTTCACTTCTGGTTTTTTCGATTATTAGACAGGTTACGCATTTTCTCTTTACTGGAATTCATTTGATGAATATATATATATATATATATATATATATATATATATATATATATATATATATATATATATATATATATATATATATATATATATATATATATATATATATATATATATGATTGTGTAAATTACCATTTCTTAGTCAAAGATTATTTTGTTTCTTATTGTGTATATTTCAGTTGCTAGAAGAGTGGCTTCTCAATCCTATTCGATTTGTTGTTAATCTTTATTATTGCTAGTTGTGATTAATGTTTGTTGTTAGATACTTTCCAACTTTTGTGTTGCCTTTTTCCGCTGTTGTCTCCATAATAAAGATCTTGGATTCGACTTTTTTCCTACTAAACATTGTTGCTTTGTAATAATTAATAATTGAGTGAATTGTAAATCGACATCAGAGCTCATATATATATAGCGCATTATTATCGTTTTTTGCTTTAAATATAATTAACCTTGATAAATGGCAATTGCAATTTTTCTTGTCGATCTCTATTGTTTGAGGGTCGATTCAGTTAAGCATTTGATTTTATTTATTGCAGACGTATTGTGTAGCGCCTTCTTACTGCTACTACTATTACTACCACTCATCTATTGATTCATTCCTACTTCTATGTGATGTATCTTTCGTAGTATTTATAAATCATATTCTTTTAAATTCTCATCTTGTTTATCTTTTAATTTCACTAGTATAATTGTTTATAACGCATTTATATTCTTCTGCTGATGTAAAGATTTATTTTACCGTTCATTTATATATATATAATCTATCCTTTCTTGTTTCAGTTCCCACTATATATACACATACAATCACATTGGAAATAAAATATTCATTTACCATAACACAATAAAAGTTTTAATAAAACAGTCATGGTCATGAGGTGTAATATAAGTTTTACCTAGAATAAACCCAACTTAATTGTGTATAGCTAATAATTAATACATAGAAAAATTCACATAAAAATTTTTTTTCAATAAATTCATACAACTTATTTTGTAGTAACGCATAAATATCGACTAATTTGGAACGGTTAACATTTTCTACCGATTAGAATGTTGAGGGAAAGCGTTCTTGTTGATAATCTCTGAACTAATACTATGGTTACTTTTTTTATCAACAATCTACATTTACTGCCTGATTTATAGTGAGAGTTATGTGATTATTTGTTGTTACACAAATTGGTCATTAGATTGGAACTAAACCGATACGCTATTAACAGATACCAATGACGTTTTATGGATTTATTGACAGAATTTGATCATTAGGCTGGGTAAGACAATAATTCAATGATAATACATACAATGACTGCTTAGTTACCAACGGAATTATTATGTTAGATCACCTAGCTGGATATATATAGCGAAGTTATAATAAAAATGGTGTTTTTTTTACTGAAATTCATGGCTAAGTCACTTATCGCTCCTGATATAGAATTATTTTTACATGATTGAATATCACAATAATGTAAGTATTCACTATATTTATTCTTTGCTAATGAGACTAATGATTGAAATATCAATTTATAACGGTTATTAGTACTAGAAAACTTCCTTATTTCCGGACAATTTGCCAGAATAATGTACTGATATCTCACTAAGTCTTAAAGTCTCTAGTAATTGTTGAAATAAACATAATCCCAACTTCAAATAACCATAAACTTGACTTAAAAATTACAGTAGATATAGTTTGTTGTTGTAAATTATTCTTTGTTAGTCGTTTATTTTATTAAATTCATCGTATTAACACCTTACATAATGGGCATTTTTGAAAACTTCAAACAACACGTTCATATCAAGTGCACTAATTGGTGGACAATGAACAAAACGAAATGCCTATCCTCAATGCTATTCCTAGTTAACATTTGTACTGTCATAGTATAAATTCCCACTCAACCCCAGGCAAGAAATCATCGAGGCACAAATAAACATGTGATGTAGAATTATGCTTCCAAAATGTATGTACTCAGATGTCTACACAGACCCAACAAATTGTTAAGCAGGGTCATTAAAAATCTACAGTTTTTTTACTTTGTCTTGGGAATTAGATTACTAGACTCAGTTGATTGAGGTGTTGTATGGTGTACATTAATAACAGTCAGCCGATCCAATGTAACAGGTAATCAACTGAAGCTTGCGAGATCTATTATAATTGCCTATCAATTTCATTTTTCTCAGTTATTATATTTAATTCAAGAAAACATCTTGTCTGGGTTTCAATCCCGTCTCCTTCATATAGGAGAAGCCATATGGATCCGAACCTATAACCATAGCGTGTGTTCAGAAGAAATTTGTCGGATATGACATAGTAAACGATTTTACTAATTTTTTCACATCCTGTATTTGTTTGTTTTCACTTACTTCCCTTTATATTCTTCCTAAAGGTTTTTATCCTTTTTCAGAGTATTCAAATTACTGTGTTTCACTGAAAAAGAGGTTTTATTAAATATTAAATTTCCGTCCTTCATAAATAATACCTATCTTTTGAAATCAGACGTAATTATGCAAAAGTATAATATGGCTTCATATTCCATCTCCTGTTCAATATATTTTCGTTAGTGAAATTAGAACACGTTAATTCGAGATGTTATAAAAACAAACTACAAATGAGACAAGTAATTAATTTTAGACTGTCGATACTAATACGCGTTTTTGTATGTTCTTAAAGTAAATAATTTCGCAAGTTCAGGTTAGTTTGGTAACCAAGAAACTCTCCTAAGCCTTAAGCCTGATTTCATTATGAACGAATGACGAATTAGCCATGAACATAAATCGTCTGTTTGATTTCCCATATTCTACTTAAGCTAACTCCGTGTTGGTGACGGTAGTAGTAAACATCTAAATACGAGTCAAGTTGAGAGCATTTATTCCAGGCACTCGTTTACTCAGACAGTAAAATCAGAAGCGGAGAAGGTAGATATGCCTACTTTATTTGATAAAACGTGACTCTATTCAGAGCCGGACAGGAAAATAAGCTTATGATGTGTAGTGAAAAGAGTAAGTGATAGACACACACGCTTAAATAAAATCAGTCAAGGTTATGAGCGAATAGCTAGCAAGGTCAAGATATGTTTGGACACCGACTCAAAAATAATAGATTAATTGGTCTGTTCAAAAGCTAAAATAACCCATATAGGCGTTACATCGTGCTGGATACTATGCTCCCCACAGCTGTTCATCCCTGTTCTATGTATCTTAGTCATATGCTTATTATTGACCAACTTCCATATAAATATCCGAAGAATCTATCGTGAAGTCATGATTTGTGGGATCATCTAAGTCAGGAATTATGAATTTAACAGTAATATTGAGTGGAAATTACATTACATACTGGAGTTTAAAATATGTCATTTAGCCCTGACTTGGTGGTCTATAGTTATCGTCGTGATAACGATGCACTCAGATATGGATGTTGGATATTGTTGAAAGGTTTCGAACTGGGATGAAATGGCCATCTAGTACCACTTGATTCACCAGATAGTGTCGTTTTGTGATGGAACACATCTTCAAAACGATTTCTTATGAATATGGTTTGAAATAGTTTTTTTCGGTTGCTTTGTTTCTCTGTGAATGGAGAAAGTAAAATCTACCAGGTCTTCGAAATGGCATCGCTTCGAGTAATAAACAGTGAGTTTACTCCTTATTATATATTATAAACTGTGTGCCGTTAATTTCATATCACATCACACCCATATATTTGCTACAATGTGGTAAAATAGACTTACGCCTATTACCCCTTGTGGAGGAGCACAGGCCGTCCACCAAGCATTCTTCATCGAACTCTGTCCTGGGCAATGATTTCCATTTGTTATTCATCCTTTTTATGTCTGGCTCCAATTCCCTGAATAATTTATTCATTAGTCTTCCTCCTTTCATTTTGACTTCAGGAATACAGGTTAGGGCTTACCTCGTGATTTATTTTGATGATTTCCGTAATGCATTTCCTATCCACATCCAGAGTCTCTTACTAATTTCGTCATCTGGCAGATAATTTTTCCATTCCCACAATAGGTTGTTGCTGATGGTGTCCAGAGTAAAAAAGACATCAGTGTCGTAATCAGTTAACCAGCTCATGTTAGACGTCCTAATTAAATCCCTGACACTTAAATCATTATTAATTCCTGTAATGTGATCGATATTACTTCCATAAAAATACGAATTTCTTCCACTTATAGTTCCCATGCTACGTTAACGACAGTATGTTAAACCAATTACTGGTAATTAACATTTAAATGATAAGTCGGACTAGATTGAAAAAACTGTTATAAAAATACCAGTTACTTACCAGTAGTATGGTTATGTAAACGACATATGAGTGCGGTTACTAAAATTGCAGTGTGAATACAGATCGAACAAATTACGTTTAAAAACAATGTTATCCATCCAAAGGGGTTATAATTGTTGTCAATAAAAATGTACTAGACAAGTAACCAGATCATAATCTTCTTATTGTCCTTTCTTGTAAATCACTTAATGACCATTAAACATTAGGCTATGGTAATGAAACTAATCATAGTTTTACCTATTTGTATCTTTTATCAAAAATATTGATTGGCCTTTTTGTTTCATATAAATATATCTGCAGTTCCTATGTATCTCCTGATGAAAATCAATCGCCAATTTTTTCGGTTCAATTGTATGCACAAAGAAATCATAAATATAAATTTAGAATGTTGAGAAAAATTGGAACATATTTGTGGTTGTGAATGTTATGTATTTCTCAATGACTTTAGTAGAAAGTTTTAATTGCAGTTTTGAGGATATATAGATAATTAATACAGGAAATGAATTATTTACATCTCAGTCAGATAAATGCGTTCTCAACTTAATTGTACATTTCCTAACTATTTTTTGTAAATCTTCTGTTTATAAACCTATAGATGTATGTCTTTTATCACATGGTATCCATGTTTTATTACATTTTTTTTCAAGAAAACCGGTCCTTATTTAAATGGCGCTTAGTATAGTCTTGAACGTCTGAAAAGAGGTTATTTTCCTGAAACTATCACTTCATAAGTTCGCTTAATTTTAGCATCTTGTAATTAACTGAGATTTTTATTAGCCTCACTATTAGTTCAAGTACTTCGTAGTGGTCGGTATTCAATATGATCCTCAAAATTCGTATACAGTTCGTCCTGATAACCGTCACTAGATAACGCCCCCAACGGTATATTAATCAGAAGGCGAATATAAAGTATTGATTACGTTTATTATTGAACCAAAATTACAGCATGAAAGAGTAGTGCCGAAAAGCAAGCGAGTGAGTGCGCAAGTCGAATGAGCGAGTCAATGAACAGTATAAAAAAGTACCTATATATACATAGTGAAATGATTGAATCAGTTAAGCGACTAATAGTAAGGCTAGCAGAATGAATACGTGCGTAGGCATTAAGCAATGTTTAAATCAACATATTAATACAAGTGCAATAATAATCAAAGTACAATGGTATATATAAGTTTTTATTGGACGAATGACTCTGTCGGTTAAATAAGTTAACAAATGGGCTTAAACAAATTATATGTGAACAAACTCAATTGCACGTGAGCTGCTATATCTTTAGCGAGAAGACAACTATAAGAAGTAAATCTAATTTATTCTGTGTTCAGTTGTATGTTCGAATCGTTATGGGATTGAATGATGAGAATCTTGGTTAAATGGATTTTTCAATAATGATCACCTTTCCTTATATGATTAGAATGATTTCTGCCAGGATCGTCCCGACTATACAAACACGCTTTTGTTGGGTTGTGTTATTTGTTGTAACTTGTGCCCTATTAATACGTGACGTAATGATACCACCAATTAGAGAACAGTGATTTATCGACCGGACCAATGACGCGTAAC